TCCGAGACAAGGTTTCTCTGTAGCTTTTGGTGCCTGTCCTGGAACTAGTTCTTGTAGACCAGGCTGGCCTCAAACTCACAGAGATCCACCTGCCTCTGTCTCCCGAGTGTTGGGATTACAGGCGTGCGCCACCACCGCCCAGCAACAATGCATGTTTTTCAGTGTAAATCTGGCATAAGTACTTCTTTTATATGTTTGCTAAGTCTGACAACCCTAGTTCAAACATGCCCTCCCCCAACCAATGTCCTCAGCAGTCAAACAACTGAGTCTCAGAAAACTCAGTCCAGTTAGAGCTGACACAGAGTGTCGGGCACTTTGGGTCAGACAGTGGTTTTTGCTAAGCCAATGTGCTCTGTGAAATTATAATCCTTGGATAGAGGTGTAAGCCCATGAGCTGGTCACCTTCCAAGCTGAAGATCCTGTCCCCGAGGGCATCGACAATGTCCTTCAGGGCTGCCTCATCTGTGACGTTGAAGAAGTGCTTGTCATCCGGGTCGCTCGCGATGTATTTGATTTCATTTAGAAAAGTTTCTGGATTGATCCCCCTGCGGTTGTAGTAGCCCAAGACCTGCCAGGGAACAGGGGCAGGGACGACAAACCAGGACATAGTATGGACTTTTCCATACACCCACAACCCCACCCCAAGGACCCGGAGGTGGGCTACAGCCTTGGGCCTTTCTCAAGGCACCCCTGGCATTTGGAAACAGATACTCTTGGGGGCGGGGGTACCAGATAAGACCCTTGAGATTAGCTAGGGTTCTGGAATCTGGGAGACTAGGGGTCCTTTTTTGTTAAAAAAAAAATACTCCCTGGAAAAAGGAGGAAAATGGAATCCCACACACGTCTGTGGAATCCTACACAGGTCTGTGTAACACACATAAAATGTCAAGAGTAAATTTAGAAACAAAAGTTGCCCCACTCAGCTGGATGAGAACTTGCCCTACAGCCAAGGATGACCTTGAACTTCTGCTCTTCCTGCCTTGCTTCCCTAATGCTGGGTTCGCAGGTGTGCACCACCATATCTGGTTTTAAACACTGCTGGGAATGGAACCCAGGGCCTCTCGCACACTCCACTTGTTCTTCAGAGGAGGACACAACTTGTTGTGCCTTTGTTAGGGAGGCAGCTCCTGGGAATCCCTGGGGGTTTGAGGGCAGAGCCTCTGAGAGAGGCTAACTGAGTCTCCCTCCACCCGGGGTAGGACTTACGGCCACTGCGTATCTGGTCACGTTGTCCTTCTCGCTTTGCCGGATCACCTTCTCCAGGTCTGGGCTGTCATGGGATTCCCCATCCGTGATGACAATCATCACCTTCTTGGCCCCTTTTCTTCCACCCTTCTGGAAAGCCTCTGAACTGGAACCAGATGCAGGCACTGGTCAGAAGAGGGATATGGGAACAGGGCAGACTGATGTCCTTTAGGGGGCAGTCACAGAAGCTGCAACTGTGGCACCCCAGAAGCTCAAGGTCTGCATCACAATGCTCTTGCACCAGTTGGTCAGCTGGGTCTTGAATATGCACATGCATGTGTGTGCGTGTCCAATGCTTGTGTGTGGGAGTGAACATTTGTGTGTAGAAACTAGAGGTTGACACTGGGTATCTCTGTCATTCCCCATCATATCTTTTTGAGACATGGTCTTTTGTTGAACACAGTAACTGCTAGAATCCACCTGTCTCCATTCCCCCAAGCACTGGGACTACAGGTGTGTGCAGTCAGTGCTGTGGGTACCGATGAGCTCAGCGGAAGTTCTCACGTTCGTGCTGCAAACACTCTACCAACTGAGTCATTTCCCCAGCTCTGGACCCGTTACTTTAAAAAGTGCAATGCCCCCTTAGAGTCCCAATCCTGCTGTATGGTAGGCAGAGGGGTAGGGAGGAGGGGAGACCATGGGGCAGCAGACCTGACTGGGATAAGTCAGTGACTCAGAGACCCAGCTACATGTCAGAATCTTTTGGTGGGAGGTTTAAACATTTTTTGATGCTTGGGTCCTATCCAGACCCAGACACTTCAGGGGGTATGGACTGGACATCGATGTCTTTCCTTCCTTCCTTCCTTCTTTCCTTCCTTCCTTCCTTCCTTCCTTCCTTCCTTCCTTCCTTCCTTCTTTCCTTCCTTCCTTCTCTTTACTTTTTTATTTTTTCTATGTGGGGTGTGGAATCATGTATGTGTGTGTGTATACCAGAAAAAGGCATCAGAGTCTTCTTCATCACTCTCTACCTTACATATAGAGGCAGGGTCTTTGACTTGTCTAGCTAGCCAGCTTGTGCTGGAGACCCCTCATTTCTGCCTCCCACTGGGATTTTAGGTAGGCCCCGAGGTCCACCTGGCATTTGTATGGGCTCTGGGAACCTGAATTCGAGTCCTCGTGCTGGTACAGCAGGCCACTTTGCCCGCTGAGCATCTAACTATTCTGTTGGTTTTGTGTGTCAACTTGACACAAGCTAGAGTCTTCAGAGAGGAAGGAGCCTCAGTTGAGGAAAGGCCTCCCTGAGCTCCAGCTATAAGAAAGCAGACTGAGCAAGCCAGGGGAAGCAAGCTCCCCTCCATGGCCTCTGCAGCAGCTCCCACCTCCAGGTCCCTGCTCTGCTTGAGCTCCTGTTCTGACTTCCTCCAAAGATGAACTATGATCTAGAAGTGTAAGTCAGATAGACTCTTTCCTCCTCAGCTTGCTCTTTGGTCATGGTGTTTAGTCACAGCCTAGAAACCCTAAGACTGAAATTGGTACCAGCTTAGTGGGGGTATTGCTGTGACAGACCTGATCATGTTTAGAGGGGAGGATTGTAGAAGGACTTTAGAACTTTGGGCAGAGGAGCCATTGAGGGCTAAGAACTCTGTGGGATGTTCTGTGGGAGCTCGGAAGGTAAGAACGTTGAGAGCAGTACAGAAGATGGAAGCCTGGCTTGTGACATTTCAGAGGAGGTTTAAAGACTCTATCAGGGCTATTTGTTATTTTGAATTAAACTTTTGTGGTTCTGGTTAGCAAGAATCAGCTGTGATTAACACGATACCAGAAACACAAATGTGAAACCTTTACATTACTGGGACAACTGATGCTGGTTAGCTGGAGCTAAGCAATTAGCAGTGATGAAGAAGAGACCAGCATCATTGAGGTGGCTATGGTTATACTTCGTGTTGACAGCTGGACTTGGTCATGTGTAAGCATCCCCCAGGTGGCACTGGTTTTGAAAGCATGAAGGGGTTATGGAGAGCAGCTGGGACTTGGCTCCGTGAGAGGGCAGGAGAGGTCACTGGTGACGGTGCAGCCTCAGTGGCAGCTGAAGACCCAGGACTGAAGGGGTCATGCAGAGAAGCTGAGGCTAGGCCCTGTCAAGAGCGCCCATGAGAGGCTATTGGTTAAGTGCATCCCTGTTGCAATTAGACAGCCCAGCGTTTTGAAGATGCCAGCACCACGGGAAGACAACCAAGAACAGCAGCAGCAGTAGAACGGGCCTGCTGGAGCCTAGAAGACAAACTGTGTGCGGCAGAGGGCAGAGCTGGAGAAGCGACCCAAGCCCTTTGCAGGAGTCCAGAGATCGTGGGTGAATCCCAGATAATTGGACATTGAGTTATTTACACTGTTGGAGTTTGGTTTTGCTTCGTTCAAATTGTGATGGTGCCCTGGTTCTCCCTCTTAAAGAAGACATTTAATTTAATTTTGACTTTTAAGGAAGCCTACAGATGAAAGACTTGAACTTTTAAAAGAGATTGGATATTTTAAAGAGATAGTAATTTTACTGTGTTTGAATTTGTAAAGACTGTGGGACTTTTAAAATTATAATTTTAATGTGAGATCTTGGGAATGAATAAGAAAGAGAATTGTGGATTAATAGTAATGTATTTGTGTGGGCCCAGCCCTGGGCATGTGCTGAGCCTCAGAGCTGCCTACTCAACCTGTGATGCCCTCTTGCACTCCCTTGGTGGGTCAGCACCCTCAGCTCTGCTCAAGGTCATTCTCTGGCATCTACCCTGCTTCCCTATTGACAGGTCTCCCTGGTGGAGGTCATGCCTCTCAAACTTGAGTTAAGATTGGCGCTAACGCTTGTCAGAGCTCTGTGCTGGTTGGGAACCACCAAGTCTGGGAACCACAAATCTCTACCTTTGTGACCCCTTGACCCTGTGGGTTAGATCTTAGCCTGATAGTAGATTCACAGGGAAAAAAAAGGCAAACAGGCAAAAAAACAAAACCAAAGGCACAACAGAGTGAATTGGAGACAACGGAGTAACGAGAGAAAAATGTTCACCTTAAAAAGCTTGTGAATGCCTGGTAGCACAAACCTGTAACTGTAGCTACTTGGGGGCTTGAGGCTACCCTGGACTATGTAGCAAGACCTTTTATCAAGAAATACAATTAAGACTGCAAATACAACTCAGTTGCAGAACACTTGTATAGAATAATGAGGCCATGGGTTCCATCTTAAGATCTGCAAACCCACCCATCCACCCATCATCCATCCATCTATCCATCCATTATCATAGTGTTGGCTATAATTTGGGATCTAAACATGGCAGGTCCCAAAACTAAAATTCAAACTTTACTGGAGGTGGAGATTACAACCTCAGTAGCAATCATGAGTTACAAGTGGCTCAAATTGTCCTGTGAGTCACATGTATGTCATGGGCTTGAGGTTGGTTGGCTGCAAAGTGAACCCAAATCGGTGAGCTTTATCCCCACACTAGTCATTTAGCTTCACAGTAGGAAAGTGACAGCCCCTCATGGTCACTGGCTTCTGTCATTGTCATCAGAAGGGTCTGTGGTCACAGTTGTCATTCCAGTGATGGCCAAAGAGCAAAGTGGCCTGTTCTTTGAGAGGAAGAATAGAGAGCCATCTTTGAGTGGAGGACTGCTTGCTTAGGCAGAGCCTGGGCAAGTGTTGTTCACAGACAGAAGTGCAGGAACTGAGTGGTGACGTCACCAGAGGAGTCATGGAGTTGGAAAAGTCGTGATCTTCTGACCACGTGAAATCATGTTCCAATTTAGACATATTCAATTTAGACGTCTTCAGCTAAAGTGACTTTCACCTTGTCAATGCAGGTGCCTAGGCCTTGGATCATAAAACCTTTAATTTTGGCTGATTTTATTGGGGGTAAACAGAGGGCATTCAGCAGTGACATCAATAGAATAAGCTTGTGAGCTCCCATGTGGAATCTTGAGGTGACAGACATTGAGTGTGTTCTGGTGTGAGTTCTAAGGAATCAGTCTCTTTACCACTCAGAGGTTAGATTTAACTGTGTTCTTTATATGCGACCAATGACACACACTATATAGACAGACTCTGTGCTCAGAACCAACATGCTTTTCTTCCTTCCTTCCTTCCTTCCTTCCTTCCTTCCTTCCTTCCTTCCTT